CCTTGCCCCATCTGTCATAGTTTAGCAAGAGTTTGAGAGAAGCCATGCTGGAGAAGAAAAATAACAACATCTTCTATGTTTGGTAAGCAGTCTAGAGGAAGCTCTTTTGAAGCAGCATTCACCAAAGCTTGGCTAGGGTTATTAGACAATATATAATGCACTCCAGACACTTCACTCTTCAATGTGATGGACAATTTGCTTTACAAAGCAGCTTCAGGATTATCGGTATGTGTGGCACGCACTCATCAAAACAACCATTCCTTTAAAGACTCTCAGTCATCAGGATATGAACTATCCCTCACTGGAATCCAGAAGGTCTCTGAATAGTGGTCCTTCTACAAAGATGGCAGCAAAAGTATAACTCCTCCAAATGTACATGCATGGATTATGCACATTTGGTAGCTTGGCTCAGTGGCTAAAATGCTGAGCTTGTTGATTGAAAGGTCAGCAGTTCAAATCCCTAGTGCTGTATAATGGGGTGAGCTCCCCAGTGGTGGGTTTCACTTACCTTTGCTACTGGTTTGCTCGCTGGCTCTTTGGCTTAGAAATGGAGATGAGCACCACCCCGTAGAATTGGGAACGACTAGCACATATGTGCAAGGGGAACCTTTACCTTTACCTTATCTATGCAAATCTAGTTATGCAAATAGATACTTGCTTCAAAACCTTGCTTAGATCATTTTTCCCAAGGGAAATAACCCAAGTTAATTTATAAAGAGGCAGCTTGAGAATAATGTGCATACAAAAATTAGTTTGCTCCACCACAACTATTGCAAACAAATTAACATTTTCATAATTTATGTGCACACATTTCAGCTGGTTTAAGTGACAAAAGGCAATAGGAAAAGGCAAGGTTAATGCTAATGCCTCCATATAACAGGAGTGCACACCTTTCTTTCAGCCAAGAGATGCCGTTTTTAATTATTTTGGTCTCACAAGGCATTCAAGGTTATATGGTACCATCAGGTCCAGGAGGTTGGCACGTTGTGTACTTCCTCTTTTTTTAAATGGCCAATGGGTAGAACACAATAAATGCCTATTAAGACTTCTGGAGGCTCAATGCATTTGCACTGTTTTAGAGGGCAAAGTAATAATGCTTCCCTGAAGATCAGTATCGTGTTTCTCCGAATATAAGACCTCCCCAAATAATAAGCCCAATCGGGCTTTTGAGCACGTGTGCTAAAATAAGCCCCACCCAAAATAAGACCTAGTGAAGGGGTGGGCATGGCCAGCACAGGAGGCAGCCCTTCCCTTCACTGGCCGCTCAGCCCCTTAATCGCAGTCTGTGGATCAGATGAGCCAGTGAGGGCCAGGAGCTGACTCGTTCTGTCTCTCTGGGCACCTGGAGGTATTGCCAGCCCCAGCCCTGCCTGCAGCATGTTGGGATTGCCTGCTCCTCCCCCCCACCTTCTGGCCAGTTGCACCTACTGCTGCTGGCCTTGTGAGGGCTCTTGATTGGATCACTGCCTTTGCCTGCTGCTAGTGGAAGGGAGAAGGTGCAGCTGCTGTTGTCATGCTTGGGTTTGCAAGGCAGCAGCGAGAGAGTGCAGGTTTTTTTTTTTTAATCTCTCTTCCAAAACATGCCAAAACAGTGCTCTTCAGGCCTTGGCCCTGGTGGGCGCTAGCTCTCAAGCTGGCTGTGTGCTTGTGCAGGCTGCTGTTACAAGGGAGAAAGCAGTGTGGTGCATTGGGATTGCCTGCTGCCTCCCCCGCTTCTGCCCAGCTACACCTGCAGCTGTTGGCCTTGCGAGCGCACTCTTCACCCTCCTGCCTGCACTGCTCTTGGCTATCCTGCAGCTTCAGAAGGCAGGAGCTTCATGGTAGCTCTGAAGCGGGATGAAGGAGGGATGGGGAGATCACCCCTTCCTCCATCTGTCTGCTCCTGCCTGGTGTGAGGCAATTTTTGGAGTGCAAAGGAGGAAGGGGCGATCTCCCCTTCCTCCTCCATCTGTCTGTCCCACTACAGGGCTGCCACGGAGCTGCTGCCTACTGAAATGGTAGCTCACCCAACTCAATTCTGCCTCCCTGCCCCACCCTACTCTTCTAAACCAGATTCCCCCCCCCCCCATGCTTATCAGCCCTGCCAGCCCTGTACATACGCACATCCATGGTTTCCGCATAAATCATCCCCAAGGAAAGGAAGACCAGCAGGAAAATTGGGGGAGGGTGGATTTTCCTACTGATCCTCCTTTCCTTGGGGATGATTTATGCCAAAACCATGGATGTGCATGTGTGCAGGGAACCCCAAGGAAAGGAGGTTCCCTGCACACACGAAAGAGTTCCTACCATACCAAGTAAGCAGCAGCACCTGAATCAAAACAAAGTGCTGTGAGTTCAGACATCCTTCCCGTTTGTTGCTGCCCTTTCAGGAAGTATTTCAGTGCTGCCAGTGTTATTCAGATTACATCCTGGCATGTTTTGGAAGGAAGAAGGCACAGCTGCTGTTGCCCGTGCTGGGATTTGCACATCTGCTATGAGAGACTGCAGGATTTAGTTTTATTTCCCTTCCAAAACATGCTGAGAAGTCACCAGCAAAAGGTGGATCTGATCAAACCTCTCTCTGTGTGTGTTTGTGCATGTGCAACATGTGCTTGCATGCATGTGTGAGAGGTCCGATCTAACCTCAGAGAGCAGGCGGAGGCTAGGGCATGCCAAGAACTTGGGCCATTTCAGCCAATTGAAGCAAGACTGTTCTTGAAGGGGGTGTGAGGTGTGTGGGGCCTTCTGCTTTTGCAGGCTCAATTGGAAAATGGGGAGGGGGGATTTTGCCTCTTATCCTGTTCTCAGTCTGTGCTGAGCTTCAGAACAGGGTGAGAGGCAGGAAAATCCACCCTCCCCATTTTCAAGCCATTCACAAAAATGCCCCATTCTGAGCCTTCAGCATATCCCAGGACTGCATACATTGCCACGCGGGTCGGGACAAAATTGTGGATACTGGTAGCTGCTGCTACAGTACCCTTTGGAAGGCCAACACGAGGTGAATAGGGTGTGTTGCATAGCGTCCTGCTGCTTTTGCAGCTGCAAAAGCGGCCAAACTTGCTGGAGGCTGCAGCCTGAGCGGCACCCATAAGGCAGCTCTTCTGTAAATGGAATTGCCTGCTGTGACTGTCACTGTTAGATAAGGAGGATGCGAGGCATGTGGGGTGCGTTGCTTGGCCTCCTGCTGCTTTTGCAGCTGTAGTTGGTTGCAAAAGCGGCCATGCTTGCTGGAGGCCATGGCCTGAGCAGCATCCGTGAATCAGCTGTTTCGTGGATGGTGGGATGGCCTTCTGCAACCCTTCAGAGGGCTGGCATGAGGGGCCACTTGACCCACCCCCTGCCTCATACCAGTAGATGGGGGTGGGAAATAAGACCTCCCTGAAAATAAGGCCAAGCCCTTGTTTCAGGGTTCAAAAAATATAAGGCAGGGTCTTATTTTCAGGGAAACACAGTAATGTTGTAGCTAGGTTTCAAGGTGAAGATCTTCGGGTTGTCCAAGAGACACAAATTATTCACCTTTTACAGGTTTTTATAGGAAGGGAAGAGGAGTTCCTGTCTCTATCACTAAAGTGTTAGTATGTTTATAACTAGGTTAAATGTAACCTGGTTGCCAACCCAGCATTATATTCCCAGAGTGAGAACAAAAGGCCTCTGGGAAGGAGACATAACCCCTATATGATCTTCTTTGGAAAGTGATGCTCTCACACAGTGGGGATGATGCACAGCCATTCCAATGTGACTCTGTAGCTTTATCATAAAGAAAGTTGGATTTGATTATTTGTTTCTAATTCAGAATGATCATAAACAAAAGAATGAGGAGCCCTGGTGGTGCAGTGGTTAGAATGCAGTATTACAGGCAAACTCTACAAACAACCTGGAGTTTGATCCTGACTGACTCAAGGTTGACTCAGACTTCCATCCTTCTGAGGTCAGTAAAATGAGGACCCAGATTCTTGGCTGCAACATGCTGACGTTGCAAGCCACCCAGTGAGTGCTGTAAAGAACTTCAAAGCCATATGTAAGTTAAGTATTATTACTATTACTATTGCTATTGCCATGATAAAACATCAGGACTTTAAAAGAAGGTAGGGGAGCTGAAAGCAATAAATATTGTGGTTTAGAACAGGAGTAAAACACCATCAGGCTTTCAGATGTTGCAATCCAGTTTCCAGCACTCCATTCTTTTATTTCATTATCATTTTACTTTTTTGCCAACAATGCAAACTAGGTTTGCCTTCATGCAAAGTTCAGCAGGAAGTTCTAGCAGATAGAAAAGCCCCTCCTTGCTTATCTCAAAAAGCATGGAGGGATTGGAAACACAATTATCAAATATATGAAAGAATCCATGAAGAATTTTGAGAATGTTCAACAAGAACATCTAGGAAGAAATCTATTGGTTGAATGGAGGCCATTATACCATCCTATATATAACAGAACATGAAGAAAGAGACAACCTCCTTCCTTGGAGGAAATAGTTCTCTTGAGCCTACATAGGTGTATTTGTTAGTCTCCCCATCTCACCAGTGGTGAAATGCACTTACCTTTGCTACCGGTTCGGAAATGTGAGAGCGCGCGCCTCTTCTGTGCATGCGCAGAGGGTCAAAACCAGGACGAAATGACATCCTGGTGGGTGGGCGGAGCCTCCTACTGCTGGCTCTACCAGTTCACACGAGCCAGATAGATCCGGCTGGATTTCACTGCTGCACCCTATTATTCAGATTGTCCCATAAACAATAATGTTTGCAAAATTAAGGACTGACTAACAGATAGGGAAAGCAAAAGATGAACCAGGGCTAAGCTGGATTGAGAGAAAATTGTGGGTTGATCCAAACTAGAATGGAACACTATTAGAGGAAAAGTGGTTATTTGGAACAAGTGGCAAATTTTGTGAGAATCTTTGCCTACAGGAGTGCACTTTTCAATTTGCATCTTAGACTGCCTCTCTTCATTTGCCGTTGACCGACAATAATGACTACTCTAACATGTCTTTTTTGCCTCCTTCTGTTTTTCTGCTTCTCTAGGAATTTGTCTTATTTTGCTACACATCACAGCCCCTCTGCAGTCATTTTGGACTTATGGGAAGCCAGACACCAGCACGATGGTGACTTAGATTCTCTAGCCTGTGCTCTGGAAGAAATAGGAAGGACACAATCCCAAATTTCTAACCTTACAGAAACTCAGATGGAGGAATCCAACTTCAGCTACAGCAGACAAAATGGACTTTAGCTATCACTTTTCTTTCAGAAAGTCAAGAGTGAGCTTGCACTGAAATGGAATTCCTGTTACCAAGGAAGAAGCCACATGCCCTGATTTTACCCCATGTATTTGCACCACCCAACTTTCACTCAGTGGGTCACCTCCTCCTTCTGTCCTCAAGCCAGGTCGCCTTTGGAGGAACGGAAGAAGCTGGTAAACCACAACTATTACACAGAGACTTTTCTATGCTGGATAAAAAGGAAAAACGCCCCTCCTTCTCCACCCACCCACTTGCATGTACACAAATTCTATGCTTGTGTGCTAACAATCCTTCAGACACAAAGTGTATATGAATACACAGCGCTTCAACCAAGAAAAGAAAATATGAAAATTATTGTAGATGCTTGGAATTGTCTTTGTGTGAGTGTGTGTGGAGTAAAGGGGGTGTTTGAGTTGCTTGCTTTTTCTTTGTTTAATCAACTTATAGGTTAGTTTGTAACTTGAAATAGGCATCAAGAAGTCCCTTTGATGAATATGATCATACTGAGGGCATAAGCAAGGATTTGAGGTCACTGCTGATATCAATGGTAGAGAATGCACATAAATATACTGCTACATTTTGGAGTTCTTTTGGGGGCTTAGAGCAGGGGTGGGTTCTAAATTTTTTTACTACTGGTTCTGTGGGCGTGGTTTATTTTGTGGGTGTGGCTTGGAGGTCATGTGACTAGGTGGGTGTGGCTAGCTGGTCAGAGTCATTTCTGGAAGGTCCTCACACTTACGACCAGTCCTCGCACTTACGACCCGACTCATTTGTTTGTTTTTAACACTGATCAGCTGTAGGATGGCCCTTTGAAGCCCCGCAGCAAGAGTTTATACAGTTTTTTTCCCTCTAGTCATCAGCTGGGACTCAGGAGGCAGCAATAGATTGGGGGTGGGACCAAATAAAAGGTAAGAAAATGTGGGGGGGGGGGGGGGGGGGGGGGGGGGGGGGGGGGAGAACCAGTTTGGTGATGTCATATCATCACCGCTACCGGCTCGGCCGAACCGGACCGAACCGGGAGGAACCCACCACTGGCTTAGAGCTAAGCAAAATGTTTTCTGCAATATATTTTTAAGCGTATTTCTGAAGGTTTTCTCTCTTTTTTATTCATTTTATTATACTAGTTGCATAGTTTTCTTTAGAAATGTCCATTTTTAGAGAATAGTTATGAACGTAGACATTTTTTTAAAAAAAAAACTTTTTTTCCTCCTTTCCTGCCTTGAGAAAAACTGGGACATGGTCTCTCTTTACTATATATATTCATTTGAATTGAGAAATTCAAGAGGTTAGGTGAACAGAACTCTTAAAAAATGTTATTGGTGATTCAATTTTATTTGTGCTTAGGTTATGTGGAAATCAGCAGTTTAAATCTTTTCTTCTTTTGTGAAAGAGGTATCTGATACTCTGTTTTAATCTCAAAATACTTGAGAATTTATTTCAGATTTGTCTGGTATGCTTTAGACTTTATAATAGGAAGGCTCTATTGCTCTATTAAATAGATGGGCTCTATTGCTGGGATTATTTTCTATGATACATCTCTCTACAATCACCCTCCCATAGAGACCATATTTTTCTCCTTTGAAAAAAGACCCATGGTAGGAGTTTCCTCCTGGCATTTTTCCTTGAGGTTTGTTGTGTGTTGCCCAGGGTCTCATAATTTGAGTTGGGTGGACTTATACATCTTATATATGAAGTATAAAAAGCCAGGGAGGCTGCAGACCTGTGAAGAGATGATTATATAATAAAGGATATAGCTTTTGGTAGTCTCAGAAATGCAAGAGCTCCATTTTCCAGCTGTGAGAATGTGTCTAAAATTCTCTTTTCATTGAACGAAAGTCAATTCTCAAGTGAATGAGAACTAGTAGAAAAAATGCAGGGGAATACATCTGATTTTCTTTCTTTTTTCTTTTTCATTCTAAAAGCATTTGCTATAAAGATGAGGATATCCCAGGTTTTATCTGAGCAGTTGTGGTCAAAATTATATACAGCTCTTACTCGCCATATCATTGCCCTGATCAAAAACAAAATCTGCTGTTATTACACAAAGGGCAGCATTTTCCTACTTGTTTTTTGTTTTGGTTTGTTTTGGGTTTTTTTTGTTTTTGTTTTTGTTTTTTTGCTTTTTGAGAAGCTTCTTAATAGAAGGCAGCACCAAAGGAATTGCATCAAGCTATGATTGTTTGGTTATTTGATTACTGGTTTCATATCTGAAATAGTTTTCATTATGTGCATTGGTGGGATGGGTATCTTTCAAGTAATATATAGAGCAGAGGTTTTATACTTTAAGAAGCTCACACTTCTTACTTATATCTTTGATTGATGCTCCTGGGGAGCAAGGTAAGTCAAGGAAGCTGTACTGTAGAAGAAATGGATCAATTAAAATTGGAGTCAATGAATTTTGGATCTTTTCAGAAAAAGTGAGTACAGTAGATTATATAAATTACATTCCAGAAGTTCAATCTCTACCGTTTACTGATTGGATTGGCAAAATTCTCTTAGGATTCCAGAGAACATTTTACTGTATTATGAGTCTGTCAACTGTACTGGATTAGATGACCCAAAATTTTGACTTTTATAATTGCATTCCCATTTTCTTAAGATACATGTGTCAGCCCTGGAGGCCATTTTTTTCCTTTGGATCTTCAGAGCTGCCACATTTAGTGCTGTGGAAAACTGGGAGGGGGGATTGTATGGAGTGGTAGAGATATCTAGCCATAATAACATTGCTTTTTCTGAGAGACAAAGGCATTCAGCCTGCACCTGGAATGGTGTAATTGGGAAGAATCTCCAGTTGGGACGGTGCATTGATTGGACCATGTGATGGCAATGTGAGTGCAGGGGAAGGAACTTGGACTTTCTTTTGGATGGGGAAAACCTAGAAGCTTTCAGATTCGGGTTTTCTCAGATGCGCCAATATGACATCTCTAATAAAATGGAACTTTGAGGAACTTCTAGCCTCAGAGTCTTCTTTCATTGGGGGTGTTACTTGGCCCCCTAACATTAACCTGAATCTGCTTTAAAACTTCAACCAGATCCCTGACACCACAAGACATGAAGGCTCAGGGAAGATGGAGGAGAACACAGCAACCACAGAGGAACACCGGAGCTGGTTTGATGGTCCATATCGAGACCCTCTACTCCCCTCCTGAATCTGTGGTGAAGGCAGTGGAGGCTGCCAAAGTGGAGTGCCGACAGGGTGTCCAGCCCAAAGAGCCAGCGCCTAGCAAGCCATTCAACTGGATCCCTTTCTGTGGGGTGACACAGTGGGAGCTGTGCTGCCCCAGGAGTTGCTGACCGGGGTGATGCTGTGAGAACAGCAGATGGGGGTGAGCAGAGTGGAGTAGCCCCAAGCCCTCGAATGGAGAACAGTAGGACCAGCTGATCTCAGTGATTCCTGACAGTGGGGCTTTTCACCACCGACGTGAAACCAGTCACTGGCGGGTCTACCAGAGCAGTTCAACCAGCTCAGCATGGGCAGCATCGCACAACGTCCTAGTATCGGCCAACTCTGATGGATTCTGGCTCTGCTCACATTCACCTTTCTGGGCCAAGGGACCACAGTAGCACCAAGTGGAGCGTCGGCCTCATTTCACTCAGCACGAAGTGGATTGCACCATAGCTTTCCTCGTTGGGCCCAGTCTACCGGTATGATCCAATACAATCAGCCAATACAGTCCGGCAATACAAGGACCACCATTGGGACTGCTGAGACCCAATACCCCTCCTCAGCAGCCGGTCCTCAAATTTCCTCCTGCCAACCAGACCCCTCCCCTTTTACTCTGGCCAGGGGAGGGCTCAATACCAATGGACACCAGTTCCGGTCCTGCCACAAGCGCTGGCCCCACAGCCGGCCCCAGCCTGCAACCAGCCCCACCAGCCACTCCTCCATGGTTTAGAGCAACATTCAATGGGACCGCAGGGAAGCTGGCCTACTTCCTCAATCGGGTTTGGTCCCACTTTGATTGTTATGGTGACCAATACCAGACTGATTGGGACATTTTGGCTATTGCGGATGGCATAAATGAAGGAGAAGCAGTGGAGTGGATAGCTGAACTACACAATGAAGGAGTCCCAGAACTAGATGATGTGGATGAGTTCGTCCAACTGCTCTGAGGTTGGTTTGAGGACACAGCCCATCGGTTAGAAGCTGAAGCCCAGATTAAGGCCTTGAAGCAAGTGGGCCAGCCCCCCAAAGAGTTAGTGTGGGAATTCCAGAGGCTAGTTGGAAAAGAGATTGGCCTGAACGCCTCCTCATCTACCACTTCAAAGAGGCCCTTGACCCAGACCTCAGACAAGCCTGAGGCATCAGAGGAGTGACTGAGGAAATATCTGGACCACCGAACTCCGACCAAGCCAACTAATGCACTGCAACCTATGCTGTCCAGGATGATCAAGTGCTACCAATGTCTTTAGCGCGCAAGATTGCAACTTCCTCCCCTCTCACTGCCCAACAGACTGTGTGATTGAGTTTGTGCTGGGAGCAAAGCTGCCTAAACCAAAGATGTACTCTATGACTCCAAAAGAAATGGCTGAGTTAAGAAAATACATTGATGCCAACTTAGCGCAGGGTTTTATCCAGCCCCCTAAATCCAGAATGGCTGCCCCCGTACTATTAAAAAAAAAAAAAAGATGGTGGGATGAGGCTCTGCATGGATTTTTGTGGATTTAATGCTGTGTGCACAGAGAATATCTACCCCCTACCCCTCATGAAGGACATGCTAAGTCACTTGGCCGAAGGCAAGGTGTTCACCAAACTGGACCTGAGAGAAGCCTATTACAGCATATAGATTAGAGAAGGAGTTGAATGGAAGACAGCTTTTAACTTGGCAGCTTGGCAGCTTCCAGTTCAAAATAATGTGATTTGGCCTGCAAGGTGCTCCCACAGTCTTCATGCAGCTGATAAATGAGGTGCTACAAGAACACCTATACAAAGAAGTCCTAGTTTACCTAGATGACATCCTTATCTTCAGTGAGACTCTGGAGGAGCATGTAAAGCTGGTGCGGCAAGTGCTGAAAAAACTCCTAGCCGCAAAGCTGTAAGCAAAGCTGTCAAAATGTAAATCCCATAAAACCTCCCTAAATTACATAGGCTACCAAATATCAAGTGGAGGAGTGGAGATGGACTAGGGAAAGTGAAAGCCATGCTAGACTGGCAATCCCCACACACCCACAAACAGCTTCAAAGCTTCCTGGGTTTTGTGAACTTATATAGGCAATTCATCCCAGCATTCACAGAAGTAGCCTTGCCCTTAATGGAGCTACTAAAAGCAGACTGCCAAAAAGTCTTTGAAAAATTAAAATGGCTCTTTGCTGAGGAGTCGATACTCCAACACTCTGACCCAGAGAGACAGTTCATTGTCCAGGTGGACACTAGTGATGTGGTGGTGGCAGCAGTGCTCCTACAGAAGGACC